GCGGTCGACGGCTCGGCCGCTGAGACTCGAGTGGTAGTGGGGGTCGCTCGCCGGAATCAGCCCGAAATGTGCATCTAGTGCCGAGCACTGGTTTAAATGCTTTTCCCAAATTTCCCCAAACGATTCCCAAATTATATAGACATAAATAAATCAGAAATATTCAATTTGTCTGCTATCTTGTCAGTGATTAGTTTACATCGTGCACTTGATATGCGTATCAGGTACTATATTCGTATCAAATTTGTACTAAACATTTAGTACGCACAATGTAAACGCTGTCGGATTATTTTGGTACGAGCGTATAATCAAGCAAGAGTATCGTACTAAATACTCGTACTAAATAAACTGATACGCGTATCAAATGATATAAATGACGATGTAAACTAGGCCAGACTAAGCTGATACGCATATTAAATAGTAATAGAATCAAATAGTCTAATAGAATCAAATAATAATAGAATCTCAACATGCTGTAAACGCTTGGTTCGTTTTGAATCATATATTAAAATTCGTCACTGCTTTCAAGTTCAGATTAAAATTAGAATTAGAGGTTTATATCTGGAAAAGTAGTGAAGACATCAAGTCACCTAACCTGATCTGTTTTGAGACAGATCGGTATAAATAAGAACGTATCAAATATTATATTTAATCAACACCAATTTGATTCATGTACTAACCGATTTAACGGTGTAAAAGCCATAATTTTATTAATTGCTTTTATAACATTGTAGAAGCACTTCTTCACTGTCGACTTATGTATCCCAAATGTATTCCCAACTACTCTGTATTCAGAACAACTAGCAAGTTTATGTAGAGCTACAGCAATTTGTTTTTCTACACATACAGGCTCCCTAGCTTTTAAAATTTGCACTTTGGGTTGTAGCTCATCTTTGATTAAATCACACAATATCAAGAAACTCATTTTTGACATTCGGAAACTTTCGAGCCATTCCGATTCAGTATAATAATTTAACACAATTGAATCCCAAAATTCGTAACTTCTTTTTTTCATCCATGTTCTTCTATATTGTACGCCCTTCGTTATAAAATGAGGAGATATTAGAGATATTACTAATAAATTTCCACATAAAATTTAAATTATATTTTTG